GCTCCTCCATCGCCAGAACCACCCATGTGAGTTCCAGTTGCAAAATCACAAATGCCAACCACAAAACCCTTAGAAACAAAGTCACATATATACACCCCACCAAAGGAAGCGCCAAAGCCTATACCCCTGGAGACCCACTGACACAGGGCAGTCCCCGGGAAGGCAAGCAGCAAGGCTGGGAGGACATAACCTTTACTGGGTAGGATAATCTCCTTCAGTCACTTCCTTGTAGCTTATCAGTAGAGCAATAGAATAGAGACCTTGGAACAGCCCTTATAATGGAACACAGAGATTGTTTATAGGTCGACGCCCAATCACTGAGCCAAGCTGGCCGGGCTAGGGTCGGCCTTTAAACTTTATGAAGGTGCAAAGGAGAGACCTGTAATCAAACCTGAAAACAGAGAGCCCCAAAGCAAGTGATGGGATTAGAGCAGTGGTTCTCAACCTTCTGGCCGTTTAAATACCGTTCCTCATGTTGTGACCCAACCATAAAATTATTTTCGTTGCTACTTCATAACTGTAATGTTGCTACTGTTATGAATCGTAATGTAAATATCTGATATGCAGGATGGTCTTAGGCGACCCCTGTGAAAGGGTCGTTCGACCGCCAAAGGGGTTGCGACCCACAGGTTGAGAACCTCTGGATTAGAGGCAAGCTGACAAACGAGGTCCGAGAAGCAGGGCTGGCAGATTCAGGAAGGGCAACTGGCGGGAACTGGTCCCCACTGAGCTCTGTGCATGGTCTGGCCTGGACCTGGTCATGCTGACAAGTTGGGTCCACGCAGGGTATGGGATGTCTGCGGGGTTCCCTGTGATTGGGGACTGGGAGGGCCCAGAGCTGTGAAGAATCCAGGTTGGTCTACAAGATTCTGAGTTAAAATATCCTAAAGAAGATGGGACATGCCTTAGCTGGTTTGGCTCAATGGATAGAGCGTCGGCCTGCGGACTGAAGGGTCCCAGGTTCGATTCCAGTCAGGGGCACATGCCCAGGTCGCAGGCTTGATTCCCAGTGGGGGGCATGCAGGGGGCAGCCGATCAATGATTATCTCTCGGCTCAGGGAAGCTCCTGAAACATATCTCAACCCCAGACTTGCTCTGAAGCCATCAGCAGCCACTGCTGGGAGAAAGGAGAGGTTAAAACCTTCCACTGAAAAGAGACTGAAAGAGGGTCCCGGGCCCTGCACGTGCGGTGGGAGAGGCCTCCGGGCCCTGGCATCTCAACTCCTCCGTCTGGGCCCACCTGCAGCCTGAAGAGTCCGCATTCCTTAAGTGGGTCTTGCCTCAGGCAGGACATTCCTCTCTTTTTTAATTTTAAACTTTAAATTATTAAAGAGATAATACATGCACAGGTGTTTCATTTCGTTTTAATTTTAAAAAAGTACAAAAGGTTACAGAGTAAAAAATAAGTTTCCCATGATCTGGGGCAGAACCTAAGGTGGCTGTTGTGGGCATGGAGGTGGGGGAATCTCTATTAGTCACTTTCCCACACCCCTCAAATTACCCTGAGACTCGAGTACAGTCTGCTGGCTGGACAAACACTAGGGCAAAACCAGCCCTTACCCTGTCATCTCAACCAGAGTCCTTCCAACACACAATCTGGCAGCTCCTCTTACCTGTTTTGTTGATGTCTTTTCAGAGAGCCTCTATGCATGTTATCTGCATGTGTGTGTATGGTTAGGTATATTTCATCCCACAGGGTTTTGACACAAATGGTTATATACTATCACATTATTCTGCCTTTTGCTTAGTTACTAGTAACTTCGTATCGTTGAGATTATTCCATATAAGAACATACAATACCTTCTTCCTTCTTTCTGATGGCTGTGTACAAATGGGCTGAAATTCAAGTAACCAATTCCCTACTGACGATATTTAGGTTGTGTGTGCTACATCATACGCTACGACAAACAAGGCCGCATTGACCATCAATCTACACATGTCTGTGCACAGAATAATTACAGGATAATTCCCTAAAAAGTGAAGTGCGGGGGTCAATGAGCATGTGCGTTTTAAAGTTAATAGCTGTTGTCAATTGTCTTTAAAGGGGTCATACCACCCACCTGGCGTGGCTCAGTGGTTGAGCATCAAGCTATGAACCAGGTGGTTATAGTTTGATTCCTAGTCAGGGCATATGCCTAGGTTATAGGCTCGATTCCCAGGTAGGGGGAGGTAGGGTGTGCAGGAGGCAGCAATCAATTATTCTCTTTCATCATTGATGTTTCTCTCTCACACTCTCTCCTTTCCTCTCTGAAATCATAAAAATATATGTAAAAATAATAAAATAAAAGGGTCTTACTGGTTAAGACCTCCACCCATAATAAATGAGTGCCTCTTTTCCCCACACCCTGGAGAGGCAAGAAATTCATAGGCCCACTTTGGGAGGAGGGTATGTCAGCCTGTTTTAGAGCCCTGATCTTTAACAAGACCAAGGGAGGACTACAGTGGTAAGAGAAGAATACTGGGGTCGATCAGTTCTGTGACTTACCCACTGTGTGACTCCTGCAAATGCCTTAATCTCTATGGGCCTTGGTTTCCTAACATGTAAAGTAGAAATTAAAAATCATATCCATTTCATAGGGTCATTATAAGGAGAAAATAATAAAGCTTCAGTTATGCCTATAGATAAGAGTACTGCGTTGTGTACTCAAAAATCTGTTAAAAGGTAAATGTCATGTAAAGCGTCCTTACAACAGTAAAATAAAAAGAATTGTTTAATGTTTATTCTTTGGCCCAGAGATGGGCCAATGAGTGGGGGGAAAAAAGCCAATAAAGGTAATGTATATGTAAAGCTTCTAAGATAGTGCCTGGCACACAGTAGGAACTTAATACATAGGAAATAATTATTGTGGTGGGCAACCTTATGAGTATGAGTGTCCTCTTTGTCTGCTAATGGCTTTGATCTGGATTTGGCTCAGAAGCCTTGGGGAGGCACTGCGCCTGGGGACAGGAAGGACACGGGACTGAATGCACCCAGCTGGGAGGGGCTGGGAGAGCCCAGAGAGGGCTTCTAGCTGGGATGGGTTCAGGCCTCAGGAATGACTGTACCTGAATGCCCCGGGGATGTAAGACTGGAACCGAAGGTTGGGGCATAAAATGGTTCAAATTTTCCAAAAAGGAGTGTACAAGATGACCTTAGGTGATTTTTTATACTATGGATGTTTTTGTATTTTATCGTACTTTGCTAAATATAGCACATTTAAGAGATAATTCCGAGGCAATTCTTGCTCAAGATGATGCTAGAGAAGGTATTCAAATGTTTAAAGAGTGCATTGATTTCAAGTTGAAGATTAAGTAAATCATAGCACATGGTGTGTGAGCCAAAGTTATCCCCCCAAATTGTGATGGTGACACATTAATAGCTGAAGTTCATTAAACAATGACACACAAAGCCATGGAAATCACCACAAGTTCTGGAGTCAGACAGCCTGCGGTTGAAGCCCGGCTCAGCCACTTACCGTGAACAGTTAAGCAGGTGGGCTGCGCTAGAGGGATCTCAGATCCCTGATCTGTAAAACGAGTGTAATATTAGTTTTTGCTCACAGGGTTGTCATGAAGAGCCAATGAAATCATATACGTGACTCACCTCACTGCCTGGAAGGTAATGAACACTTAACAAATGTAATCATGGTAATTATTACAGTGACCGTAGGCTAAAGAGTTTTGACTGTATTCTACAGGCAGTAGGAGGGATTTTGTTAGAGAACTCATTCTGTCGTGAAAATAACACTTCAACAACATGAACAAAGGAAGATTCTTAAACAATAAGGAGAATCATTATTCTCCCAACTTTAAATAATTTTCATTTTTTGCATTTTCTCCCCCAGACTTTGTCAACACGAGTACTTGCTGTTCATGGTTATAACCACAGTGTGCATGCAAATTTTGAGTTCTGCTTTTTCTCAACAAATGTGCTGTTACACACAGTTTCCATGCTTCAGCATATTCCTCATAATGTCATTTTTGTGGCTGCATTTTTGCATTGGTTAGATTAGCCATCGTTTTCTTAACCATCTCGCTGCCTGGAGAAGGGCAGCAGGGTCAGCCCCGTGGCCCACCTGGAACTTTTTCATGTTAACTTTCCTTAAGATCAATTCCTGAAAGTTAAATTAATAGGACAAAAGGTAATATTTTCAAGGCTCTTATTACACTTCCCTAGATTCGTTTTTTGTTGTTGGTGTTAAATCCTCACTCGAGGATAGAGGGAAGGACAGAGCGAAATACCGATGTGAGAGAAACACGTCCATTGGTTGCAGCTGATGCTCTATCCACTGAGCCAAACCGGGTATGGCCACTTTCCTAGATTCTTTTCCAGAGTTTCATGCATTGCTCCACTTTCTCATTTATATAGTGAATGGACAGGAAAGCCATCCCTTTTCCCCCCAAAATTCTGTGGGCTGAAGCCACTGAATTTGCAAGGGAGAGTGAGTACCTGTGTGGGGGGCATGGTAAGAAGCAAGGTGAGGAGTCACAAGCTCTAGTTCAAGGGCTCTGGACCCTCCTGCCCATCCCCACCGCCACCATACAGTTCAGACCCCACTAGGGGACCAATCACAGCAGCCTGCTGACAGATTTCTCTGTCTCTCGGCCCATTTTCCTCAATTAATCTCAGAATTAATCTTCCCAAGGTGTAGCTTTGATCATGTGCCTTACAAGCCCCCAATGGCCAAATCTGGCTGACAAATGATTAATACAGTGGGGCCTTGACTTACCAGTGTCCCGACTAACGACTTTGTTGAGATACCAGCTGTCTCTTGGCCGATTTTTTGCATTGAGTTGATAGAGTAATTTGAGTTAACGAGCTCAGTCTCAGAACGAATTAAACTTGTAAGTCAAGGCCCCACTGTATCTGTCAAACTAAATGCGCACTCAAACCCATAAGGAAAGCCTTAAGACTGTGGACAAGTACTTCCCCCAGCAGGGTGAGCAGAGAGTGAGCACCTATGTAGAAAATGATTGAACAGAAAACCAGGTGGAAGATGTGGACAATCACTTTGCCCAGGAGGCTAAGCAGAGAATCAATAAATACTCGGAAAATAGTTCTACCCATTAATGATGAAGGAGATGGAAATGAAAGCATGGGGGGCGAGCGTTTCATACTTACTGAATTAGCCAAATTTGAAAGCACCATCAGCCAGCACTGACAAGCCTGGACGAAGTCCCTTTACTGCTGCACTAGTTCTCCGCCCCTCCCACCTCCTTGGAGACACCCTCTTCTTGTAGTTAAGAAGAGCAGGACAAGTTTCTCTTGTGCCCACAGGATGTTGGTGGCCTTTAACTCAAAATACTCTGCATTACACAGAGACACATCTTGGGGTGACTCATTCTGAATCCTTAAACCCCATAAAATGGGTTCCCAGACTGAAAGAGTCAAAGGCAATTCAGTGAATAGGTGGCCCCAGGCAATGCTTCCCAATACTTCCCCACACCCACCCTCCGGACTTTCCCCATCTGCTGGACATCAACATGACCATAGCACCTTGCGCCGTGATTAGCATATTCCTCTCTAGACCGGGGGTCCAGTAAGTCAGCAACATTTGCCAGGTGCCTACTCTGGGCCAAGGCTGGGCCCGGTGCATGAAAAAACAGAGAGACTATGGACCCTGTACTCAGTGAAGTCACAATCTAGGGAGAAAAGGAGGCTCTCTTCTCTTGGAAGGGAACTCAAGCAGATACAAGGGGACCCAACTTTCTAACCCAGTGGTCGGCAAACTCATGAGTCAACAGAGCCAAATATCGACAGTACAACGACTGAAATTTCTTTTGAGAGCCAAATTTTTTAAACTTAAACTATATAGGTAGGTACATTGTTATTAACTTAATTAGGGTACTCCTAAACTGGCCTTTGCTAAAAACGTCCTCAATCTGATTGAGGTACGTTCGCTGAGGCCGACCCCTTCCAACTCTCCCATCCACACTCGTCTTGTATACTTGTTTCTTCTATCTCCTTTCCGAAAACCGACTTCTGCACATGGGCCATGAAGTTTCAATCGCACTGTATGTGCACGCCCGCACACGTGGTATTTTGTGGAAGAGCCACACTCAAGGGGCCAACGAGCTGCATGTGGCTCGCGAGCTGCGGTTTGCCAACCACTGTTCTAACCAATAGACAGACCTCCTGGGAGTCAACATTCTGACTTGTGGCCAAGGCTGGCATGGACTTTCATGAAAGAAGGAAATATTGACATAGACTGGATTCAGAGCCTGGCTCTTCAGTCATGTTCCCTTTGATTAAGTCATCTGAAGGGGGGTATTAATAGGCCTTCCTCCACAGAGCTACTCTGGAGTGCAAATGGAGGTACTGGTACCAAGGGCTGAACGGTATCTCCCCATCCCACCAGTCCACCAGGTACCCCTCACCTCCTACTACACCAGCATAGCCCTTCGTATTCTTCAAAGACACCTGATCTTGAAAAGCTAGGTTCAGTTTTAGAGATCTGACTCCTTGGAGTTCTATACAGAAATACAGCCACCTCCTCTTGTCTTAACAAACACCTCTCCATTCCAAACAACAAGGGGTCTCATGGACCCCTTGGGAGTATCCCACCCACATGTCCAAGCTTCAGCCACACCCTTTGGCCAGGGTGCACACACTGGCAGAAAGGTAGATGGGAGAAGATGTCCACACAGGTCCTGGAAGTAGACTTGGGCCATTTGAACAAGAGATTCCCAGGTCCTGGCTGCCCAAAGTGTGGTCTAGAAGGGAATACAGGCTTCCAAAGGACACATCCCTCGGTCTCAGGGACTTTTCACTCCATGAAGGGAACGTTGGTTGGAGGGGAACCAGACCAAAACCCTCTAAAGCACGGGACCCAGGCCAAGACCCTGCTTATCCAAATCTAAGCATAGTATTACCTTCCTGAGTTTGTTTCTCCATCTATAAAAGGGGGGTAATAATAGACCTTCCTCCACAGAGCTACTCTATTAAATGAGTCAGTACGCATAAGTTCATGACATAAAGTAAGTGGTTAATAGAAGCCAGTTATATTATAAAGAATATAAATGGACAGAGACTCTAGAAACCAAGCAGAAAGAAGAAAACATCTCTGACACCCCTGACCTTTAAACTAATCTAGTTTAGGCTTTCTTCCCTGTTTTAAAAAGAACCTGGAAAGGAGCCATGTCCCCATCTGGCTGGGCAAAGTAGGCTGAGGAACTCACTGTGGGAAGGGTGACAAGTGCAGGCCCAGCCCCCTCCCGCCAGAGTATGTGGTCACCGACAAGCTCAGGGGCAGGCCTGCTGGCCACTGGGAGGGCTGTGGAACCCAGAGTGGGGTCTAGGAGATCTCTAGAAATTCTGACCTTCCCTGGAACTCTCATCACACCCTCAGAGCTGGGAATGAGATCCAGCTGAGACGCTCCGCTTTCGGGAGTTTCCAGTTCCAGAGCTACAGAGAAGCAAGGATGTCGCAAAGTCATGGCTCTGTGAGACTTTCCAGAGCATTCAGTTTAATGTTCCTTTCGATGATGGGGAGCCTGAAGCCCAGAGAGGAGAGAGGTCTGTCCCAGGTTACCGGGCCATTCAGAGCCAGGGTCCAGGCTAGAACTCAAGACTTCTACTTCAGGTGGAGATTGCTTTCATCACACTGAGCAGCCTGCTGAGCCAGGGGAAAGTGGAGAAGTGGAGGTTAACAAGGGGTCAGACACACGGAGGGTAGGAGATTTTAACTAGGAACAGACTCCCTGACCCAGCTCTGCCACTCACGACTATGAGTCCTCAGGTTATGACTATGCTTTCTGCCCCTAGACTGCAACATCTACTTCTTGGGTGCTGTTAGACTGAAGGAAAAAATTAATGCTATTATTATTCGTGCTTATTGACACAGGGTCAGGTACTCTGATAGGTTCTCTCCTGGTTTATCTCATTGAATCCTTAAGCAACCCTATGAGATAGTATTGCCTGCCTCCCATTGTCTGGATGAGAAAATTGGGCCTCAGAAGAGTTAAACACCTTGCCCGAGGTCATCTAGCTAGTTAGCGGCACAGCCAAGACAGGAACCCATCGAAGCCTGTGCTCTTGACTATTGAGCCACCCCTCCCCTTCGTGCAGTAACTCCCAAGAGACCTACACAGGGAGGTTGCCAAATAGGTGGAGAAAAGGACCAGGGGAGTCCTGTGGACTCACTCGGTGGGTTCCCCCAGATGGAGGAGAGGCCTAGGGTGTCACACAGAGTAGGGGGTGCTGTTAATAAGGGGAAACTCAGAGGAAGTGGAGACTCCTCTAGTTTGTGCCAATATCCTGCTTCTTCTACACGACTTCCCTTTCCACTGTTCTCCACACAGCAGGTCATCCCCTTCTCAGGGAAAATCTATCAGCCATTTCTGGAGATCCTTGGCCTCCTGTGGGGCTGCAGATCCATCGATAGCCACCAGAGGGCGGGCCAGCTCTATGGCCAAGTCTAAGGACCTAGCACTCCCCAGGGTCCAGCCAAGTGTCCAGCCAGGGCTGCGCCCAGTTGCGCTTTGGCACCGCCCTCCATTACACTTTGCCATCGGCTTTCTCCCTCCGTTCTCAAAACATCTAGTTGCAGAAGTTCAACTCACCTGGAAACAAGGTATCTGGTTCCACAGGAATAAAGGTCTTATAAGTCACCACCCAAAAGGCAATGGCCACAGGCACCACTGCAGTCTCTGGTCAGAACTCTGCTTTATTAAGCACTTTCTCACACCTGAGTGACTGGAGATTTATCAAAGCCTCATGAGTGAGTGGCATGTTCACACCGAACAGCTGAGGAAACGGAGGCACCAGGAAGGGTAGTGACTGGCTTAGGGTCACCTGGAGACCTCCGTCTTCACACTCCAGGGAAAGCTGGTTCCAATTCCCTGCCTGTCTGGAGGTGGCGGGGTGGGGGGAGGGCTGCAAAAGTGGGCAGGGAGAGGAACAAGGGGTCCAATGTTCTACCAGGAAGACCAAATGCATGTGGTATTTCCTGTGGACAGACCAGCCAGCGACCCACCCACCCACCACCATCCCTCCCCGCGTATATATTGAGCACCTGCGGAGGGCCCCAAGGTGGATGACAGGAGTCTCCTGCCCTCAAAACGCTGCGGTCTCGTGCGAGGAAAGTGGTGAGTCAGCAGATAGTTACAGGAAACCGACGCCTGTATGAAGGGATATGAGCAGAGGGGCTCATACACGTCAGGAGCATACCCAAGATGGGGGTATCCCCTGGGGCTCCAAGGCCTGAAGAAGAGACCTAGAGCCAAGGACTCCAGGCAGATGCACCCCTTTCCCTGAAGCTCAACCCGGGATGGGGGCTCCCCTCCCAGCTTCGGATGCCTGCTTGTGTTGGGAACCCGGGGTCCCCCTCCCACACCCCTCCCAGAAGAGCACGGGCCCCGGGAGCCGATGACAGCACACCTGAGTCAGCCCGCCGCCCACCCACCCCTGAGCGTCTGTCTACGCATCTTGTGATATTTCGCTCCCCGGGAGCCAGCCCCACTGAGCTCCGGAGGCAGCTCGGCAAACAAACCCAACGACAGATTGTGCCGCGGCTCATTCCGGGGAAGGACGCCAAATCCCACCCTGCTACCCCCAACACTCCCTCCCTGCCTCCCCC